AGTAAATATTAATATATAATCAACATTATTATCAATAATATATTATTATCAATAATATAATGTGTGTGTATGTACAATAATTAGTATAAAAACATTAGGTAAAAATAGTTTTCTACGATTCTACTAATAGTTATCTAAATGTTAATATGTATTTCTTTACTGTAGTGTCTGTTCAGTCAGCTCAGTAGAATACAGCTGATTTTAATTATGATACAATTGACGATGAAAGATTGGGCCGAGGAAAGAGACAACACGTTCCAAATCGTCGTTTCAACAGTGATGAAGAAGAAGAAGAACATGTTTATCAACCTCGAAAATATACCAAAAGTAATCCCAGACAGCACAGAGTTTGAAATGAATTAAAAAAATTCAGCGAATGTCAGTAATTTTGAGTTCAGCTTCAGATACAAAAAGAATTCATTTGTGAAAAGAAAAGAAATCAGAAAAGAAAAGAAGTCTGAAGAGAATTCTTTTTGCATCTGAAAATGAACTCAAAATTACTGACATTCGCTGAATTCATTTTAAACTTTCTGTGCCATCTGAGAACGTCTCATACATGTATGTTTTATTATGATTGCATTCTCTTTAGACGCTTATGTACTGAAAGCATTACTCTAGCTTTATCAACACATAATGAGTAAACAAAGATAGAATGATGTTATCAGCATGAAAGTATCCGAAGCGTTCACAAAATATTTTATGTTACAAAATAGTAATTCTATTTAATTATCATGCATCATTATCGTTCACGGTATCGTCACCCGAAAATATACAAAAATATTTACAGAGTGTCCCATTTTAATGTCCCACCCCAAATAATTCTTTTTGTAGGGCTGTGTTATGGTTGACGGTGATCAATTGCGTTCATTAATATTTTTCACTTTTTATTTCAAGTATGTAAGTAAGTAGAAAAGAAGCAGAACTTGCTTGCATTTGTATACGCGTTTGCAACATTATTGCCAGTTATAAACATGTTGCTAATTGTAACACATAGAGATTTTTGTGTTGGCAATGAATATTGAAACGCAGCTAGTGTAGCGAACAACTGATTGTACCAGGCATCTCACATTAGCGTCCGCGTCTCACAATGAGTTGCACCGTCCCTGTCTACCTTCTGTATCAGACCTGTAATAAGATAACTATTTTTTTCAATAATTTAAAAAATAAACTTTTGATGAAGTTTTGCAAAAGGAAAAAGTGTTTTAGAATGTTATTAAGATTTTGTATTTTTATTTTTAAGAGGCTGTCTTGACTCATCCTGTATACAGGATGTCCGATAATTAGTTACCAACCCGAAGTGTGAAGGTAGATTGGGTTAAGACAAACATAAAAGTCCCATATTATTTTGCGAGATTCGCAATAATTATCGAGTTATTAATTACAGAAATCTAAGAATGAGCGCGCAATGAGATGCGATGAAACGTAGATGCGGTGAGATAAAACAACCAATAGCGACGCGTTATCCTTCCCCTCACTGTACACCGACAACAGTTGCTGGGTTGACTGGGCCGCGCTGTGGCCCAAGCGGCTGCAACGCTTCTCCAATCATCTAAAGGGTTTTTCAATAAGGGCGGGTCGATGTTGCAATGGAATAAAACAAGCTGTGTGTGAGGTATTAACGAAATTCTTTTTTTATTTGAAAGCCCCATATATGCCATTATGTGTGGAATATAACATCGTTCAAATGTCCGCCGCGGCTTCTCACGGTGGCACAAATCCGAGTGGTCCAATTTTCAATGATTCTGCCGCATAGATCCGGCTGAATTTAAGCGATGGCCTGGGTTATGTTAACTTTAAGGGCATCGGTCGATTGCGGCTTATTGGCATAGACCTGCGACTTCAGAAAACCCTACAAGAAAAAGTCTAGCGGGGTCAAATCGCACGATCTTGGTGGCCAATTCACGTTACCTCTGCGAGAGATAACCATACCCTCAAATCGTTCATGCAGAATGTCCATCGTGGCGTCCGCTGTGTGGCACGTAGCGCCGTCCTGCTGGAACCACATGTCGTCCACGTCCATATCGTTCAATTTGGGCCAAAAGAAATTGGATATCATCGTTCTGTAGCGCTCGCCATTGACAGTGATGGCCTCACCAACGTCGTTTTCGAAAAAGTACGGACCAATGACGCCGCCGGCCCAAAATCCGCACCAAACAGTAACTTTTTGTGGATGCATTGCTACCTGGTGAACCTCGTATGGGTTAGCGTCGTGCCATATATGGCAATTATGCTTGTTAACATAGCCATTCATCCAAAAATGCGCCTCGTCGCTAAAGATGATTTTTCGGTCAAAATTGGGATCCTCTTCCAAGTGTTTCGAAGCCCAGTCAGCGAACAAACGGCGTTGTCTATGATCATTAACTTTGAGCTCCTGGGCCAGTTGGATCTTGTACGGGTGCAGGCCCAAGTCCCGACGCAAAATTCGCCAAGTTGAAGTCTGCAAAAGGCCGAGTTCTTGTGCACGGCGAGGAATTGACTGCCTCGGGTTCTCCTGCACACTTTCACTTACAGCGGCGATGTTCTCGGCCGATCTGGCGTTCCTTTGACATACGGGTGTTGGCTGATCGTTTACCGAACCGGTCGTCTCGAATTTGTCCACCAAACGTTGGAGAGTCGACTTTGAAGGGCCACCGCGTCTGCCGTAAAATGAGCGCAACGCGCACAACGTTTGCACTAACGAACACTCATTTTGATAATAAAGTTTTATCATTTGGACATGCTGCTCAATCGTGTAAGTTGTCATGGTGATTTGGCATCAGTGACTGAATAATAAACAACAGGTTAGACAGACGCCGCCAAAACAACATGGCCGCCACAGGCTGCCAACATCGACCCGCACCAATTGAAAAACCCTGTATGTCGGCACGTGCCCACTCCTCACACAGATTTCTGTCATTAATAACTCAATAATTATTACGAATCTCGCAAAACAGTACGGAATTTTTATGTTTATCTTAACCCGCTCACTCGTCAGACTTCTGTAATTAATAACTCGATAATTGTCATGAATATCGTAAAACAGTATGGGAATTTTATGTTTGTCTGTACAACTGCTCAGGCTACAGTGCGGTCCAGTCGATTCAAAAACTGTTAGCGGTGCGCGGCGAGACGAAAGACAACGCACCGCTATGTTGTTTTATCCTGCCGCACCTACGTCTCGCCGCACGCCGTCAAAGCTGCTGGGTCGACTGGGCCGCGTTGTAACCCGATAGGCTGCGACGCTTCTTCAATCATCCATCTCAGCGCGCGCTCATTCGTCAGATTTCTTTAATTAATAACTCGATATTTATTGCGAATCTCGCAAAACAGTATGGGACTTTTATGTTTGTCTTAACCCAACTACCTTCATACTTCGGGTTGGCAACTAATTACCGGACACTTTCTATACAGGGTGGGGGGTTATAAGTTTACAACCCGAAGTGTGAAGGTAGATTGGGTTAAAACAAACATAAAAGTCCCATACCGTTTTGCGAGATTCGCAATAATTATCGAGTTATTAATGACAGAAATCTGAGGAATGGGAGCGCGCCGATATAGATGATTGGCAAAGCGTTGCAGCTATTCAGGCCACAGCGCGGCCCACTCGACCTAGCAACTGTTGGCGGCGTGCAGCGAGACGTAGGTCCAGTGAGATAAAACAACGAATAGCAGCGCATTGTCTTCCCCTCGCCACGCACCGGCAACAGTTGCTGGATCAAATGGGCCGCGCTGCGGCCTATGCAACTGCTATCTCCAATCATCTATGCCGGCGCGCTCTCACTCCTCAGATTTCTGTCATTAATAACTCGATAATTATTGCGAATCTCGCAAAACGGTATGGGACTTTTATGTTTATCTTAACCCAATCTACCTTCACACTTCGGGTTATAAACTTATAACCCCCCACCCTGTATACAGAGTGAAGAGAAAATACCAGAACACTTGAATAACTTTGAAGGATTAAGTTTTCAAGAAAAATATTTTAGACAAAAGTTTCAGCATTCTATATGATGAACTTTATAATGTTCTTAAATTTGATCTTGGAGTCGATTTCCAAGGTCATTTGAAGGTCAACTTGAAGTTTTCAAGTAGGAACTCCAATTTTTTATTATACCATGTTTTTTTACCAATTAATTTGAATAACTTTGTCTGAAACATTTTTTTATTTACCTAATATTTGAGATATTTAAGGAAAACTTGATAATTTTTTCAATATTTAACTTACGATATCTCGCTAACTATTTATCGGAAGAAAAAGCGGTACAAGACATTTTTAGTTTATTTGGTCTCAATAATATATCGTTACAATAGCGTCCTGATTTTTGTTAATTTGATGATTTTGAAATTTTCAAAAGTCAGTAGGTTAAGTCAATAGTTAGCGAGATATTGTAAGTTAAATATTGAAAAAGTTATCAAGTTTTCTTTAAATATCTAAAAAAATATTAGGCAAATAAAAAAATGTTTTCAACAAAAATTGGTCAAATTAATTAGTAGATAAAGGCGTTAATAAAAAATTGGGGTTCCTATTTGAAAATTTCAAGTTGACCTTCAAATAACCTTGAAAATCAAAGGTCAAATTCAAGGGTACAATCAAGTTCATTACTTAGAATACTGAAACTTTTGTCCGAGATAGTTTTCTTAAAAACTTGACCCTTCAAAGTTATTCAGGTGTTTCGGTATTTTTTCCTTTCACTCTATATATGTTTTACAGGGAAAATATATATACAATGTTTTTTTTCAACAATCCAATTTAGCTTACAATTCATTTTTTAGCTTTCTTCATTTTTACTTTAGATTGATTGCTTGAGCTAAGATAAAACTATAGACGGATTTAATTTTAATTACATGTAAAAACCACACATACATGTGCTCGATTTTTGCTGTTATATTTATTTCCCTTTATATATTTTTGTTTGATTTTTTTTCTAAGTCTTGCACAAATCTTAGAGATGGTAAGTTTCATTTGACTCACCCTTTATAAACATACAGTAAATATTTGCTCCATCGATGTTTTATGATACTTACTGTATTAAATTATTAAATTTTTCCCGAATCTCAATTTCATCCGGTTCCAGTGGCATAAATGGTTTCTCAACTAACATATTCGTCAACATCTCTATATTCTTACGATTGAGCAACAAGCCAAGCATCTTACAGCAACCGATAACCATAGCTAACATAACGTAAAAGGTGTCCGTAAAATCGTCAGCATTATCGACGTTCAGGACAATGTCCATGAATTGCGGCACCATGAAGGTAAATAGTAGCAGGACCATAATAATTGTATACGCATTATACACTATACGCTTACAAAACGTGGACCAGGAACTTGGTGGCCAGCACCCCGCGATCGTAAGAGTTATAAGCGGAAATTGCATGACTTGCATTCTTTCACCTTCTTGCTCTAGCGTCAAAAAATGCTTATAATATCAAACAATTCTTTTCTTTTTTACTCATATGTAACATATAATTTTTTAACGTGATTTTATTTGATTATATTAAGCTGCAATAAAATCTTATATTTAGTATTCTTATATTTACTAGGCCAAAATTCATTTCCTGACCGTTTACATTGTATATTAAATATACATATAAATTATGACTATTAATTATTCGACTAATCTATTATATTATTTTAATAACTTAATATATTTACATCATATCATGATATCATTCAAACACGAATAGAGCAATTGTCTTTTCAAAAAAATTAATAAGACAAAAAGAAAGTATTGTATAATATTATAAAAATATTATAAAAATTGTAACGACTCGTTATCTCTTATATAATTTATATAACTTAAAAGTGAATTTAATAAAATTAATTAATTAACTATAACATAAACGACTATAACTTAAAATGACCTTCAAAAAAGTAACTTTTTTATTCCCTAACGCAAATAAAATGGTGTACAATAGAAATAACTTACTCATGCTGAAAACAAAAGCACCAAATATCCGCTTGTTATAACGTATGCCAATAATCGGAAACAATTCCACTAGCAAATCCAAGGAACGTTTATAGCCATGCGATACGACTTTCTGTTCGTAATGCTATTCATTCTACTTCCCTCTTTCGACAATCGTATCATTACAGTAATATTAAACGCAATCAATACCATCCCCAATAGATAATAACATCGTTACATATATGTATGAAAGGTATGTTACATAGCTGCTTTCTTAAAGTACAATTTTCAACAGCACAATGAATACGACTTTACATTTCTATATATTGGACAGCAATAATACACAAGAAACTTGTAGATAGACAAAGAATATCTTCATCCGTTAGTAGACGTACAGAATTACGGTGTATCATCATGAAATCTTGATACAATGTGTCAAAAAATTTATAGCAGATTGTAATTATAGTGCAAAGAAGCAAGAAAGAAAGAAAGAAAATTAATCAATCGTTATATATTTACTCGCTAACACAATGGCAATTTGGTAAAAAACAGATACAATTTACAACAGGCAATTTTTATCGAAGGTAACAATTTGGAAAACGTTGTTACTAGCTAGTTTGCGTTAAGTTTCGTTTAAAATAAGCTTCTTACATTTTTTGCAGTATATTGTAACTCAGATACGATGTCTTATATAAATACGATAAAAATGTGAACGTTTTTATATATAGGGTGTCCTATTTTAATAGTGCACCTCGATTATTATTGCAGAAAGTGCTCGGATGGAAAAATGTTTTAGACAAAAGTTGTATGGTTTCGAGGGGGAGATAAGCTGATACTATATATATAATAAGCTGATTAGTGTAACCTTAAATAGTTGCTTGAAGGTCAAATGAAGGTCACTTTCAATTTCTTAAATGGAACAGCCTACTTTTCATGATATATTCTTCTACCTTACATCGAGAACTTTCCACAAACCTATAATAAAGTACCTTTTGTTAAATACTTTTTAATTTATAAAGCAAGATCAGAACACGGGGTAAATATGCACATTAGGTCAACCCCCTCAAAAGTTCATGACTTTGATATATATTGTTAAGGACATGTTCCTGAGTGTTATGCAAAACGTTGCAACCATCGCTTATTGTTTATTAAAAAGTTATTAACAAAAGAATTTTCAAAAATATAAAATTTTCCGACACCATGTATATATTTAAGAAATGAATACGTATTATACACGTATACAGAGTGTCCCATTTCCAGCCGCCCCGGCTCCCGATCCACGCGGGATTGTTTACCGGGATGAAGTCCGGCTTGGTGATCAACCCTAGGCCGGCGCCCAGTTCCCTCAGTCCCTGTATCAACAGGTCCTGGGCCCGGGCGCCGACACCAAGGTTGGCTTGGAACCGGAGGAGGGGGATGAAAGCTAGGCTTTCGGCCCCTCCTCCGGACTACCTACCTCTGCCCCCTCGGTTGGAGCTTCCAGCAACGCTGGCGTCGCACCAGCTCCACCCGGAAAGGGGAGGGATCTCGGCCATGGTGACCTCTGCATCAACGGGTACCTTCGCGGAGGCACAGGGAGTCCCTGCCTGCGTGTCTCCCTCCTATGGGTAGTATAAGGAAGGGTCCACGATTTGTGGAGTCAGAGGCGGCACATCCTCTGACTCCCCCATCCCTAGGGCTGTATCCGTAGACTCCGTCCTTCTCACCTTTCCTGGTTCCTCCGGTCCTGCGTCCTCTCCTGTCTCCAGATCCATAGGAATGGCGACGTCCTTCCCCTCGGTCGCTCCTCTCGTCCTCAGGGCCCTCCGCTCGAGTGGCTTCACCTGCGTTGGATCCTCGGCTTCCGAGGTTCGGACCTCCTCCCGCTAAGGGTCCAGCTCCATCGCCGGGGTGGAGACGAATCTCTCCTCTCCCTCCTCCTGTCCGGGATCCCTCGTTGGGGGGAGACCGGACTAGTCTCCCTTGGCACGGGGTCCTTCCGAGGGGTAGGGTTGGGGCCTTCGGTCCCTCCCCCTGTCCTTTGGGCCTCGTCGGTCCTCTTCACCTTTCCCCTCCCCCCCGGCCTGTAAACCCCCGGTTCCTCGGGGGTTTACAGGCCGGCCCACCAACTTTGTGGTTGGCCGGCCTGCCCCTCTCTGCACACACCGTGCACTTCGCCGAGGCCGCCTTGCAGTTCTTGGCGCGATGACCGGGGTCCAGCCAAGTGTCCCGGTGGCGTATTGCCCGCTCGCGCCAGCCGGCCGGCACCTCAGCCGGGCCAGCCACCTGACCATCCGCGGCGACCTTAGCGGCCGCCACATCGCCACCACGGCTGTCGCCATCCCTCGCTGGGGTACGCGGAGCTTGCCCACGGACACTTCCGCGGGCAGGCAATCCCCAACGAGGGACACAGCCTCCGCCACCTCCCGGGCCCCGATGGTCAGGTCCAGGCCGGTGAGTCGCAATGCAGCGAACTTCACCGGTCTCTGGACCCGATAATCGGGGCCCTTTTCCGCCGCCAGCTTGCGGAGCTCCTCCGCAAGCCCCTGTGCGGGCCCGGCGGACCCTGAGAGATCCGGGGATCCTCAGGTCCGCCGGCTTGATACGGCGCCTGTCCTCAGCCATAAATTGGCTGTACTCGCCGTCGGGGTACGTCAAGGTGACGGCGGCCGACTTCGGCGGCCTCAGCTTGGGTCCTCCTTTGTTCTTCCCCGAGGTGGACCGGGGAGGATGTTTGGGGTTGGGAGGAGGGACTCTCCTCTCCTCCTTCTTCATCCTCCTCTTGTCCTCTTTGCTCTTTACGGTCGTCCATTCCCCTTGCGGATTCCTGGTGGGCTGGGGCTTGTTGGCGGGCTTGTTAACCGGCCTCTCCTTCTTCTCATCGCTCGCGCGGGCGGCCGCCTGCACATAGGATATCACCCCTTCCACCCGAGGGACGGCCGTCCCCTTTCTCTGGATAGCTTCCGTCTGCTCCCTCCTCTCTTTTTGCCCCAACCTCTTCCTTTTTCTCTTTTGAGACATAGTCTCTGGAGCCTACCGTGCCTGCCTCGTGGCCCCCTTCCCCCCCACTCCCAACCGAGTTGGCTATTGCCTTCCCGCTCGGGAGGGGGACAGGGTCGGGAACTCAGACCCGCACCTCCGGCTCCGAGACCAAGTCCTGAGGCTCACCCTCCATGACCGCCGACCTTTCCCGCGTCAGTCTATCAATTCGTCGCGACAGACGAACGAATGCCTCATCCTCCGACTTGAGGCCCTCCTTCTGTTCCACGCACGCCATTATCTCCACAGTCATTCTGTTGTACGCCTCCCTGCTCCTCGTCTCCAGGATGCGCACCGCCAGGGACTCGTCCCTGGTGCGATTCGTTCTTTCCTGACTCCCTGTAGTGGGGGTCTATGGGCTGCCACCGGAACAGTAGCCTCGTCCCTCCTGTAAAAGTCGAGATTATCGTCGTATGACTTAATCTCACCGACGATATCCCTCCTTTCCTCCTCCGAGCTGGAAATGTCCTGAATTGGGGGTTTGACCGCCCTCCTCTCCCTGACCTTCCTCAGCTTCTTGGCCTTGGGTGGTCTGACCTTCTCTTCCTCCGTCGCCAAGGTGCCGCTGCCGGCAGTCACCTCGGCGTACGACCTTTTTCCTTGGGGTTGAGAGAGCGAGAGCGTAGGCAGATGCAGTCAACCTGACTGCATTAAGCTCCTCACTGAGCCTCCCCACCTCCGCTTTCAACGCCATTTGCTCCTCTCTCATCCCCTCCATCTCCTTGTGCGCCTCAAGCTGTGCGCCCTCCCCCCGTCCTGCGTCGCGACCCTCACAAGAAGGGTCGACAGGACCGCCTCGGAACCACCGCGCGGTTCAGTAGTGACACGAAGGTCCCCTTGAGCGTTCGAGACCTCCGCGCCACCAGCCGAACCATGCCGAGTGCACGGCCCACCCAGTGATGCCAGAAAAGCACTCCGGTAGCACAGCACAGCGCGTGAGGGATAGCATACATAACGAGCGACTCCGTGTCCGTGAGCGTTCGGTGCTTCGGCCGATGTCGGGCTTTAGATAAGAGCAGACGATGTCTGTTGTCTCTGTCTTTGCCGAACGATACATATAGCTAACTCCGCCAGCCGCGGGAATCTCGCGCTATAGACTTCTCTTTATATTTCGCCGCTCATAGCCCCGCCTCGCGTATTTAAAAACATTATAAAATAATTCTTATGTTGTTCAGAATATACATTGTTAAAGTTGTAGACATAGGAATATTGTATTGGTAGTAAATAAATGAGTTTTGCCTGAAATCGGCGAGTTTTCGTATATTTGAAATATGTTTGCTATATTTCTGAGTACTATATTCAAAGATATTGTGAAAAATGCCGGCATTATTAATGTAATATAATTATGCAATCCGTTACACAATAGTAATAATGCCCGGCACTCTGCAGAATATCCGTAAACATCGGAAATATACCAAAAACGTTTTGGAATAACGAATACTTTCAAATTTCGGCCAGCATCTGTTACTTTTCTATTGAAAAACATAGTGCTCGAGAATATTAATTTATTTAAAAATCACGATACAAGA